ACACATCGAAGTGTCGAGCCCGCTGATCTCTAATTTTATTCATTCGCATTCGTGCTTGTGAGACGGCATTATCAGGGTCAACGTCATTTCTATTGATCAACACATCTGGAAGAAACTGCTGAGTTGCCGGTAGTTTCGGATTTAAGCCACAGTGCAAGGTCATGGGAGAAACTCCAGTAGTTGAATGAACCGTAGTATTTAGTGTAACTTCTATATCTGATAACGCGGCTACCCATGTCTTTTCTTTCTCGGCGGTCAAAGTAGCGCGGAGCAAATTGAATAAAGTTCTCATTATTCGTTCAACTTGACCGTTGCCTCGCGGCATCCCAGTAGCAATATGATGGAGCTGCACATTTTGTTCGCTTAGGAAATTTTTAAACATTGTCGAAGTGAAGGCTGCACCTCTATCAGCAATAATGCGGCGGGGTTTTCCGAGGTCAGTAAATGCTGAGTGCAAAGCTTTTATTGTATATTCAGAGGTCTTTTTCGTGATTGGTTTCAAAAGAGAGTATTTTGAAAAGGCATCCACAATTACTAATATTTGTGTACACCCATTAGATTTGACAAGTGGCCCTGCATGATCTATGTGCCACGTATCTAATATATCCCTAGGTTTTTCTCCTTTTTGCCAGAAACCACTTCGTCGTCCAGTGTGAGATTTTCCTAGGACACAGGCCTTACAATTTCTTATGTATTTTTTTAGACATTGTCCCATCCTTGGCCATTGCAGATCTTCACGCATTTTTGCAATGCATTTGTCCCATCCAATATGTGAAGATTGATCATGGTACAGCTGCATTGTTTTCAAACGAGCCGCAATTGGGACAAAACACTTAAATGGTTCAGTTTTTGTCACTATTAGTCCATCATTTACTGTATAGTCAGTATACTCCGACGGATTTTCCTTTACATTTTTACAAAATTGGTCATATTGTTGAAAGTCTTTTAAAGTTGTGCACGATTTAGTTATGTCCTTTAAAACGCTAACACTTTTAACTGGATTTCGGCTAAGATAGTCTACATGCGCTAATTTGGGTCCAGGTCGATATTCGATGTTGAAGTCATAATCTTGCAATATCATCCACCACCTAGCTACTCGTGGATGTAAATTCTTTTTAAGAGCAGTAGCTCGAACAGAATTACAGTCAGTGTATATGGTAAAATGTGTTCCATACAGGTACACGCGAAAATGTTCCACCGCATCGACAATAGCCATGGTTTCCAAATCATAAGAATGATACTTGGATTCATAGTTTGTTGTTCGTCTGCTATAATATGCGATAGGATAAGTAAGATTATTCTCTTTTTGGAACAAAACTGCACCTATACCAATCGAACTAGCGTCTGTATGTAATTCGCTTTGCAGCTTCGGATTAAAAATTCTTAGAACAGGTTTATCAGTCAATTTCTCAATGATTAATTGTCTTGCACACTCGCACTCGTCAGACCATTCAAATGGTTCACTTTTTCGCAACAGTTTAGTGATTGGAGCCGTAATAACCGAAAAACGTTCTATAAAGCGGCGAAAATAACTGGCGAGACCCAGAAACTGTCGTACACCTTTCACATCTTTGGGAGCAGGCGCTTCTTTAAGAGCTATAACTTTTCTAGTACTAGGCCGTACCGTTCCGTTGGCAATAATAACTCCAAGGTACTCTATTTCAGTGGCAAAGAAGACACATTTCGCATAATTTAATCTAAAACCCGCACTCGCTAAGGCATCTAATACCACTTTAAGATGCTGGAATCCTTCTTGTACAGTTTTTGAGGGAACCAAAACGTCATCCATGTACACGAAAGCCATATTACCTTTTAGTCCTTCTAAGGCTTTATCAATAGCGCGCTGATAGACGGCCGGAGAGTTAACAAAACCAAACGGCATTTTATTATATTCAAACAAGCCATCAGGGGTGATAAATGCAGTAAAGTGTTTCGAGTTTTCTTCAATTTCCATTTGGTGGAATCCGGACTTCATGTCCAGAGTTGTAAAGAAGCTGGCATGACATAGTGCATCAATTTGGTCCAAAATGAAAGGCAAGGGGTAGCGTTCTCTAATAGCTTTTTTATTAATTTCCCTATAATCGACGCACATTCGTAAATCGCCAGTTTTCTTTCTTACAAGCACAATTGGGCTGGCATAAGAAGACGTACTCTCTCGAATTATTCCACTGACCAATAATTCGTGGACAATTTCTTGTACTTTTATTCTTTCAGCATGTGCTAACCGCCGAGGTCGAAATGCGACTGGCACATCGTCCTTTAAACGAATTTTCAATTCACCTGTCGTTATATTAGTAGCAGTCTTTTCTTGGGCATCTAACAGAAGTTGCTTTAATTTCAGTTTTGTGTGCTCGTCCAATCCTGACATATTAGCGTCAGTAATGTTGCTGAATGTCGAAACAGTCATAATTTGAGGCGCGTTGGATAGGTCATGGTACAATTCTAGTCCATTGGAACTTTTATCGACACGTACGTGACTTTGTCCAACAACATCCCAACCGATAATAGCGTCAACTGTTCCTGGGATTACATCATCGGGCACTATCGTAAACACAATTTCCAAAGTTATTGCAGGCAACACCGCGATGATTTCACATGTCCCGATACTACGCACAAGTTTTGTTCCAAATCCGGTTAGAAAGCGTCCGTCTTTATGAACAATGGCGTTGAGTCGTAGGGCAGCCGATTCACTTAAAATCGACAGATCTGCACCGCTGTCGATAAGATACGTAAAACTGATTGCTTTGTTATTGTATATTAAAGTTGCAATCGGAGATGTGTCAAGATCACGTCCTCGTCTAATTAACATTACAGTTTTGGGTTTCCCATGCTTCGACCAGCAATTTTTTTCTAAATGTCCTGGCTTTTTGCAATGATTACACTGAGGAATACCAGTGACTGCAGATTTATCACGAACGTCTTCTTTATGTAACTGATCTTTGCGTACTTGACGACAGACATCTTTTTGATGTCCCTGCTGCCCACATTGGTAACATGTTCCTTGAAAGGTTCCGTATGGCTTCCTAAATCTGGTATTCCGATCTCGGTGTTCTCTTTGGCGTTCATATTTCCGTCTAGATGATCCTGCAATGTCCGAATGTTTGGGTAGCCTTGAGGTCCTAACTCGCCGTGCATCAAAGTCACTTAATAACTCCATTAACTCACGTTCTGATGCCGGTTTTTGAATTTGCACGGCAGAGCGTGCTTCATCACAATCTAGACCGTATTCCACCATACTTAAGATTATATTCCACGGTAACTGCGCGTAAAACCTGCTAATGCAGCGCAATTTTTGAAGTCCATATTCACACAAAGATTCGCAATAATGGCTCCGTAAGACCGCGGCCTTATATGCGCGCGCTCCAGGTGTTTCGCGATCAGGGAACGCAATCGTAAAATCATTGCAGAAATTTGTCCAGCTTCGAGAAAGAGGTCGCCAATCACAATAATATTGATAGCCTCGGTTTTTCAATGCCTCACCAGCCTTGGCTATCATAAGAATGTCGCTAACATTTAATTCCTTTTTTAATTTCGTAGCGTCGTCTAACCATTCCTTGATGGAATACGTACTTTGGTCGGGATCGTAACTGGTCAATTTGAATGCCGAGTTCGCATGTCCGGCTGATGTTGTCGCCTGCGCGTTTAAGCTCTCCGACTCGGAGGCGCTGGGCGTTGGCGTTGATGCGGTCGCCATATTTGATAGCTTGGTGAGCTGCTCTTGTTGCGATGCCAAAATAGATAGCAGCGCTTCTGGCCAGTTAATCTTTTTCTTTTTCTGTGCGGGACCAGGTGAGGGCTGTTCATCCTGAAAGTCATCGATCTCCGGCACTTCTACATCAAGTTCTGGATGCTCCTCCGCCATTTTTACAACTTCACATTAATTGTTCTTTTATTTCACTTACACTACTTTAAATAGTTTATAAGTTCATCCCACTTCTGATGTTAAATGAGAGAGGGTTTCTACCCCAAATAAATACCACTTAGGTCCTTTTACAATACCTATTTTATTTTACAACTACGTCACATTTAATTTACTCCGCCCCATTACGTCTCTCTACGTCGACTGTTGTTTCTCCCCACTTTTCTCGTTGATCTCGTCCGCCTGCCATCGAGTGGTTTCGTAGCAGTTGCGTAGTCGCAGATCGCAGATGCCTTAAGTAGGAAGCTATCTTCCTACTTCCGCAGTAGGGATCATGTAAGGGTTTAAGAACCCCTAAAGTACACCACCGTTAACATCTATATTTTCATATTTTCGTAAAACTTTAAATTCCTGTAACAAAAAACCCTACGTGAAGGAAAAAACTGAAAGCAGATTCAAATTCAGGGAGTGAAATTCTACAAGAATCATTCCTAAACGATTGTGTGACAAAAATCATGTCAACCAGTGTAATCATCCTCTACTATTGCATTTACATACCTTCCTATTGGAAGTTATCTTAAACGTGATTCTAATAAAATGATATCATATATGTGGTCAGTATATGTAAGAAACGGATACATTTACGATAGAATTGCAAAAATGTAAATAAACAAGTAATATAAACACCAGATAATGAACTCTGTTTATTTAATAGCTGATATAGGTACCTACAGGAATATTGCGTTTGATGGCAGTGGAATATCAAATAATATCAATATCAAAAGTTTATAATTCACCAACATTATCGTTTTAAATTATCAAGTCCTGAAACATTTACTTTCTTTTTCTATAGCGACTTAAAAATATTTTACAATTTCATTACTTGTGCTTATAGGATCGAACCGAAATCCGTACATTTTGTTACACACTTTTATATTATAGAATATATTAGATAGCTAGATTTGTTTTGTATATTTATGTCGCTTTCAAATAAGGAACAAGTTTGTCTTAATGTCAGTAACAGATGTTGATTAACATCATGTGAAAACAGTAAATAAATAATAATCTAATAGATTTGGTATTAGCTGTCAAAACTCTTTAATATACACATACGAAAATACAATTAAACATTATTCTTCAGATATTCCATGGAAGCTCATGCTGTACACTACAACCAGAAGTACTCAGATTTCATCTGCGCTCAGAACAAACCCGATGGATTGGCAGTTGTGGCATTCTTCATCCAAGCTACAGATAACGAAGATAATCCTTGCTTTAACAAACTATCGACTGCCGTGAAAGACATGATCAAGATTAATTCCAGAACTAATGTAGCACCAGGTAGGTGTACAAAGACTACCAAATAACTTCTGTCTCTCGTTGCCTGCAAAAGCTGCATCCAAAATGAAGATAATTTGTGCTAATTGTTAAACCTTTTATTAAAACATTCTTGTTTGATAATTATTGGCATATTTACATATCTATTATTATTACATTTTTTTTAACGCATGACATTTCTCATTAATTATAAATCCAAAAACAATTGTATTATTATTAATCTGTATTATTGATCTGATATTGGATCGCTAACAGTCTTGAATTTTTAGACTGTTTGACATGGTTCAAAGATGAGGCTCATTGCAAAGGATACTATACATATCAAGGATCTTTAACTACAAAGCCATATACCGAAAGTGTGACCTGGATTTTATATCCTCAGCCAATTCACGTCTCAAGGCAGCAGGTAAGTTAATTCGTTTAAATACTGTTTATTATTTATTTTGAAATTGATATTATTGTTTTAATTAAAAATATTTTCCTACTCTTTTGTAATTTAATGAGAATTGAAAAATCGACAGAGGCTATTTTCCAAGACACAAAGTTTCAAGGATTACACAAATTGAAACTTAATCCGCGTGACAAAATGCAGTCACCTTGGAAAACTTACTACCAAATTTTAGATAACAAATAAATCAAATCAATTCTTTTTCTTTTTTTGGATATTTTGTTACACTGAAATTAAAAAAACTAGTAACCAAACCTGCGTCACAAGGTTTTTAATGTATTTATGCCTCTACTTCATCAAGACTATATGATGATTATGTGTTGATATTTCGCTCTCGTTTTGAAAACGATGCATTTTTTGACTAAATAATGAAAGTTTGAAATGAATGAATAAAATTGATTGGGCGCCAAAATAAAAAAATTTTAGTATTAATTTTGAAATTTTGGATTTTGAGAAATTTAGATTTTATTTTTATATAGTTGTAGAGCCTTGAGATTTATCTCAGTAGTGACTTCTAGCAGGAAATTGTATCAATTTTGCAACACATCACACAAAAAAATTAGAGAATGAAATTATAATTTATTGTCTAAACACACAAAGCAATATTCCACATTTAATTAATTAATTAGATGCTTTAAAAGATAGTATCTGCTAAATTTGACAAATTACCACTATAAAAACTATTATCTAATATTTAACTAATCTCTAATTTTAACTTGTGTCCTTTTTCAAAATAAATTTTGTTTATGCTGTAACCTCCGAATTCTTTGAAACTGCATGGACTTGCATGAAAATTTAGAATAAGGCTCATCTTAGGCTCAAGTTCAAAAGTGACATAAGCCCGATTGACGTTTTTTGTTTTTTAGGAGTAAAAACTACCCCTAAGTGAAAAAATAGAAAAAATTAAGTTTTAAGCATTTTATTGATAAAAATCTTGTTCAAGCACAAATATTAAATAATGTTCCATATTCTCGAACATGTTTTATGATATATTTGATCTTTTCGACCCTTTATTTAACCCTTAAAAACTACCCCTATGCAAAAAATAATGATAAAAAATTACTTTTTAATGATTTGGAATGATTAAATTGTGCAATTATTTAAAATAAAAGTTAACTTATAGCTAATAAAATAATTTTTCTCGTTTAACCCCTAAAAACCGGCTCTATATTGACAAAAATGATATAAAATTACTTTTTGAAAGCATGGAATGCTTTAACGGTGCAATTATTTAAAATAAAAATTCCCTCATTGCTTATGAAAGAATTTGTACCTCATAACACTTTTCAACCCTTATAAATCACCCCTGTGCTAAGAAAATGAAAAAAAATTACGTTTTAAATCTTTGAATGCTATAATTGTGTAATAATTTAACATAAAAATTCCCTTATATTGTTTATGAAAGAATATTTTACTTTTGCCATTTTCAACTCTTATAAACTACCCTTTTACCAATATTAATGTAAAATATTTTTATTATAATCGATTTTTAAATATAATCAATCATAAAAAAATTGCTACGCTGCATTTAAATAATCACACTAAATTTTTTTACTTATTTTATTTGTATAATATTTAAACTTAAATATAAAAATGTCATTGGTTTTTTTACCATAACTCGGTTAATTTTGAAGCTATAGTATCCTACAAAAAAGCATTTTAAAGATAATTTCAAGAGCTGTAAGATCGTTTGCATATAAAACCTTAAAAGGTTTTATATGCAAACCTTCGTTTTTTAAATAGAAAGGATCGTGGGGTTCGAGACAGGTCGTTTTTTCGCTAAAATGGATACTTCAAGCGGCGATATCTCCTTTATTTTTTATGCTATAGGAATAAAAAAAACAAAATATTTGTTGAAAAAAAAGCTACATTTTTGTCATCTATCATTTTTTACGTATCTTTCATAGTTTTAGAGTTATTATATAAATAAGGTAATTTTTTTTTAATAATGAAAAATACTTTTTCAACTTTTACCGAACATTATTTAAAAAATACGCACTCTGAACCGGTCTAACTTCAGGATCGTATGAAAAACACTAAAACAAAACTAATAGTAAAGGGTCTACGATTAATTTTAATTCTGATGGAAATGGTACAGCGTTCACTGCTCATTTTTCCTTAAAAAATATGAGCAACCCATCTGTTTTTGACGATAACTCCTTCAATTTTGCTCTAATTAACTTTTATAAGTACTCATTTTGAAGGTCTTCTTCAGTACTACAAAAAACTCCAGGAGCGTTATACACGTAAAATTAATCCTTTTTCCGTTATTTGACGTTGAATACATCGATTCGAGTATTTCCCCCGAAACAAGTCCCCTTCCACTAACCATATTTCGCTTTGTATAGGACGTACAACATTTTTTAAAAAACAATTTTCTTTGTGTATTTATAAGCTACATTTTTGTTCATTACACTTTTTTAATAAAATGTGTAGTTTTTGAGTTATTCGCGAAAAATACTTTCATTCAAAATTCCAAGTTTTCAATCGTGAATAACTAACAAACTGTTAATTTCTCGAAAAAATTCTTCGAATATGTTTTGCTCAAAATTTGATTCTCTTTCGATTTCCAACGTTATTTTTGAAAAAAAATTCCACCCCCGAGAAGGGGTGTCAATCAGCGCTATGTCACTAATGTTCATTGACCTTTTCTCTAACTATCTGCCAAATTTCAAGTCGATCGGTTCAGTTTTAAAGAATTCGGAGGTGATAAGCTTCAAAAAAATTAATTTAATTTAAATTTTATAGAGCTCTTTGTTGTGTATTAACTACACCGGTATATAATCTGTTAAACTGAATATTTAGGTTTCTTTAATAATAGTCTCTTTGTGACATTTGTTTCATATTTTCATATGTAGAATCACTGTTCCAAATAGAATAGTGAGATTCTCGAACACTATGTACAAGTAATACGGAGGGTTTTTTTTACTCGAAATCCATAGCACGTATCTATCAATATGTCACAAGAGACAGCAAGTACTCAAAAGAGTACTTGAGAAAATAATGAAGTTATCAGATGGTGGGGACTACCAAAAAAATAACATGCTGTGTTATTTTCTCATAAATTCAGGAGATATATACCAAATAAAAATAAAGTCTCTAGATAAAAATAGTTATATTAAGAAATGTTTAGTGAGTTATATCCCATGAGTGACATTTATACATAGGTTGGTCTAAGACATCAATCATAAAAATAACTTATTAAAATTCAGTTTTCAGTTAATAAATCCATCAATTTTTGTTTCAGGTGGCAAATTTCAGAAACCTAAAATCTACACCGTGTGAACAACACAACATCACAAAGAATGTGCGTCCAATTCAAACGCCCCCAGAACATAAGAAGTTGAATGTTTTCTATGCACGATCACACAGACATAGCACTTCCGATTGATTAGTTGTGTTTGAAGAAGAATATTTAATGAAAAGCCTTCATATAATTTCTTGCCATAACATGGCAGTTATTGAGTTACGTTGTTGAGTAAGACGAAATAATGATAATTTTATACACTACATAATAAAAAAAAAATTAAACTTTAAAACAAATGTATTTAATATTTTCAATTGCACTTTATATATTTTGATAGTTTTACTAACTAAATTGTCGTTAGTTTATAAGGATGTTGCTTAATAGTTTGTATTGACATACAAGTGAATATTATATAAACACTATATTAGCGTGGTTATTATATAGATAAATATTAAAATAATATTTTATACTATTACATATTTGGTTTTTCTTCTTTTGGAACCTCCTCCTGAGCATCCATAAAATAAAACACGTCTTGAGTCTTCTCGCTACAGGTGCTACCTGTGCTAGTCAAATATACTTCGGTTTTCAATAATTCATCAGTGATGTCTTTAAAATCATCGTCTACCTCGCTTGTCTGGACCTGAGCCGAAGTTTTGGATTTGACTGACTCCGCAACAGTTTCATGGGATTTAAAAGCCCAACTGTCTAAAGAAGCCGACGCTGGTGACTCTTGACAATTTGGTGGCACACTTTCTTCACGCGATATTTTTCTTTTTCCTTCAACTATGTATTCCTTCGTATATAAATTTTTATTAAGATGACTATCTAGTAAATTATGGAAATATGGATCTTCTTCAATCTTCAATGTTGGGGTTCCGGATTCTAAGTCATACTCCTCTTGAGAAACCGATAAACGATCTTCTTTCGGTAGAAATTCTGTTAAGTTAACATCAGTACATTTTGTTAATTCTCCTAATACTTCGATATCTAGTGTATTTTCTTTAAAGCTTTCTAGTGCATCTACCATTGCATCCACAGCTTCAATTAAATATGTACAAACTATTAAATACCTCAAATAGTCAAAACTAATCTTATTCATATTCTGGATTCGTTCGTTCAGTTGTGGTTTTGATTCTTGCTCGAATATATTGGGTACAAATTCTTCTAAAAAAGGGTCAAAAAACTCCTTGGTTGTCATCATATATGTTGATATCTGAAAATAATCTGATTATGGAATGATGCGTAAGTTATATAAAAGTACGCGCATACTTATTGACAGCAGATGGACAACACGCACCGAAAAAATATTCAATATAAATTTGAACCAGTAGATGCACAACTGTCATGTCACGGAGTGAATGCGCATTTTAAAAATCAATTAAGAACAAAGTGTTCTGTAAATTCTTTAGTGTAGGTAAGTATATACTCGGTGTCTCAGTTGTATTGTTCCAATGGCATATTATCTCCATTACTATATTAGATCTATGTGTAAAGTACATAGCACTTGGCATACGTCTGTTAGGATACACCTCTTCTTAAACACGGAAGGCATTGTGCCTTTTTTTTCTGTATTCCTGATAAATTAAAATCATATCCTAACTTGTAAAACCATTGTTATTCATTTTGAATATGTACCAATTTTGTTTGAAGCAATTTATTAACAAATAATAACACTTTATGAACGGTCAAAGTAAACAATCAAGTTTATTCAAATAATTTCAAAGCCTATTTTAGTTTTCGTAAATCGTTTTGATTTGTACAATCCCAAATTTGTAAACATTTAAAATTCAGTTTCACTTCTGTTTTGAAGTCTAAATATAAAGTGTAATATTTCACGAAAAAGGGATTTTTTGTAGAATTCAAATTTTAACAAAAATAGTCGCCATGAGTACTATCCTTTTTCCCAGAACGCGAAACTTTTGATTTAATTATGATGCCATCAATAAATAGACTCATCGACATTTTTTTTGTTATGGTTAATAAAAATCCGCAGCAAAATATCTGCACCAATGGGCACCAATGGACTGCTTTCTTACCACAACCAAGTATACTTTACTAAGGATCTCACTTTCACTAATTAGAAAGTGTTGCTAAATATTTTTGTTCTCAAGCAAGTCGACTCGATAACCCCAAATAAGCAGCTGGTTTACAATACACAAATAACTTAATTTTAGTGAGTTATATCGATATTTTGTTACCCAGTTCATTAACTGGAAATGAGCTCTTTGCCAAGTAAAACAAATGATTTAATTACAGTACAGAATGTTCAGCAAGCTCTATGACAAACTTTGACAGATGGTAGCCTGGTTAATTTCAAACATTTTTTCTTATATGAATATGAAGTCCGATTCGTTTTTGTTTAGAAGTTACAAGCGCTGTAAAAAATACAATTTCATATTTCAATCAAAGTAGCCTGATAAAGAATACTGATGGTTGCTACAACACTAATTATTATTCGTGTTTAAAGTTTAAACATTAGTTAACCTTTATTAATCAAATTAACAAATATTATAGACTATAAAAATTGTTCAAAATGTCCACCCTCGACTCGAATACAAGCCTTACATCGGTAAACTAAAGATTCCGTCACATGACGGATGTGATTTGGATAATTTCTTATCTGGTTAGCTGAATCCTGAGTAGTGATTTCAACATGGTAGACAAGCTAGTTCATATGTCCCCATAAATAAAAATCCAAAGGATTTAGATCTGAGGAATGCGGTGGCCATGCTATTGGACCTTGCTGACCTATCCTGACCTATATTCGAGAACTCATTATTTAACCAAGCAGTTAGTTGTCTCCAAGTAGTGCTGATACCACATATTTTGAACAATATTATCATCAATGAAAACAAAAAGGTTGTTTTCCAACAAAGTTCTATACAGATCTGCATTTAAACGATAATTGAAAACATGTACAGGCAGTAAATCATTGCTGAAAATGCTACCCCAAACGTTGACACTGAAATGTTGCTGAAATTGACTTGATCTAATTGCATGCGGATTTTGTATCGCCCAGATATGTTCATAATGATTATTATTTATGCCATCCCTAGCTAAACACGCTACATCAGACCATATGACAAGCGAAATGAATCTATCATTTTGTGCATGTCGTTGAAGTAACCAGCGACAAAATTCTAATCGCTGAGCTGAGCAGCATGTAACGCTTGTACATTTTGGCGATGAAACGAATGTAACATTTCTCTGTTCAGTACACGCTATACAAAATTCGGTGATAAATGAAGATTACTTGCTGTACGCCAAGCATTAATTCAAGAATTGTCAATGACCACATCTATTATATCTTCTTCATTTTGTACTTTCACTTCAGTAGGACGAATAGCCTTTTTGGAGTGAGGTTACCTCCTTCTCGAAGTCTACGAAATGATGTATTAAAGATTCGGTTGGCAGGTTGATGTCTATTTGGGTATCTCCGTCGTATTCTCAAGCTGCGTGTCTGGTTTTCCCATTAGAATACTCATATACTAAGACAATATCTGCATTCAGTTGTAAATAAGTGCATTTTTTTATTTAGCAATTTAACACTAATTGTAAGTGTTAAATGAATAAACAAAATGACACAAATAATAATTATTGTTATAGCAACCATCATTTTTATTTATCAGGCTACTGGTTGAAATATGAAATTATATTTTTTTAAATGTTTGTAACTTCTAAACGAATTGGACCTATGTTTATATAAAAAAAAATGTTTCAAACTCAGCTAATATCTGTCAAAGTTTGTCATAGAGCTTGTATAACACCCTGTATAGTGAGTTACACATTCTCTGTGTTCGGCAAATAATTCAAATATGTAACGAAGTTAAATCCCTATATAAACAAATAAACTATTTGTCACTAAATGAGTTAGACATCATTTTTGTAAAGACGACAGAGTTTGCCTGTTTACCTTTGCATCATCACTGATCTCTTCTAGCAAAGTAGGTATTTACTCGTCACTGGTAATTTTTTGCTGTTATGGATGAGTATTTCATTAAATACCAGAGAAGGACAAGGTGATTCAGTTTTAACCAATATATGAATAATAGGTGAGTTTCTTAAAAATGTTAATAAATGTAAATACAACACCAGGAGCGGAACTATAAAAAAATCCGATGTATGCCGACTGATCCGACAAGTGTGCTTTTTCTACTAGTTACAAGATTACAAAAAATAATCCAATGTGCTGCCGACAAGTGTGAGCAAAACTAATACGTATATTTATGAGCTTTGTTCAAATTTATAAATAAATCATAACTTTCAAATATTTGTATGCAAATTGCAAATTCTTTTTTCATTTTACATTACTGACAGTGAAAATGGAGAACGTCAGTAGTTTTGTATATTATTTAGATTATTTCATCTCGATGAATCATATACAGGGTGATTCAGAACTTATCAAAAATACAATTTTGTAAAGAAAAAATCAAAAAGGGCAGTTCGAAAATGATTTAAAAATACGCTTCTGCATGGCAATGGAAACTGGTCCACTGTAAAACCTGACCTAGCACAATGCGACTGGCATGGCGGCAAAGTGTGTTAAAAACGGACAAAAACTTTCGCGAGGAAAGAAATAAATAGAATTTTATAGCACCTATTTTATATCAGCAAATTCAACTGCTTTTGCCGTTATTGTTATTATTAATTAATAAAATGAATTTGTGATTTTAAATAATAAAATAGTTTGACATACCTAATGTTACAACAACTGTTTAAAGTTTATAACATAAATAGCATTTGGGTCCGTCTTACTCAGTTTCTACGAACACAAATGTTGTCTTGCTTCGCCATAAATTAAAACGATATCCATCAACCCCGAGTTGCTATACACGCAAACCATTTTTGACACTAACTACTAAAAAACTATTGTAAACACCACAGATAACAGGTAAACACTAACGCAACGACGACTGTAAAATCAGATTTCAGTATTCGGAGTCGCTGAGGCCACGTGGCTCTCTACGCGTATTGCGAATGACGCTAGAGACTACAGTTGTCCAGCTATGAATGGTTGAATGTACTAAACTTAACTACAATAATTTTTTCCTCGGAAACTATAAGGATTTTACAAAAAATTTGTTGAAGATCCATTTCTCATGCCGCATCTATTCCCAAGATTTTTTTGGATAAGTTGTGAATCACCCTGTAGATAAAATATGATCATCCCTTAGTTTATCTAGATAAAACATAGAGCCACAGAGAAAGTGAGCTTCGCTGTGGATCAAACAAGTGTAACCCATAGTATTCTGACCCTCTCAATCTAAAGTCAAAATTACCAAATTGGTTCGTGTTTTGATCCTAACAGCAAGAAGCTCCTCTAGAGAGCAGTTTTTGAGATTTCAAATCGACTTAGTAGTCAGTGATTTGAAAAACATTGGAATTCATGATCTTATTACACCATAATCCCATAAAAACCCTATAAAGTACCCATAGCGTCATAAGCTC